CGCGCCCGGCCACCCGGTCTCGGTGACCACCACGGGCACAGTCTCGTAGCCGGCGACGGCGAGCGCGGAGACGACAGCATCGACCATGACGTCGAACAAGTTGCGGTACCTAACGCCGGTGGTGAAGTCGTCGCGGAAGTTGAAGGGATGGTCCTGAAAGAGCGCGATGCCGAGAGGGATCTCGGGGCGGAGGCGGTAGAGGTTGTAGGGGTAGAGGTTGATGAAGAAGGAGGAGTTGGTGTCGTGCAAGAATTGGAGGAGAGGGCCGAAGAGAGTGGCGCCGGGGGGTTCTTGGAACTGCGCGGAGGAGGGGGGGAAGGGGGAGGATATCGCCGTGACGAAGGAGAAGGAGGTGGAGACCGTTATTTTGCGGATCCCGAGGTCGCGGAGGGAGACGTGGACGTTGGCGATTGCCGGGAGGAGGTCGTCGATGGACCGCGGGTAGACGTCGGGGAAGGCGTTCCCCACGGAGATGCTGGTGATGTTCACGCGCGGGTAGAACGGCACCACGTTCGTGTACAGCCACGACACTGCCGTCGACCGGTTCTGTGCTATCGGCGTTACCATGTAGTTTGGGATTGTCAGGAAGAGGGACGTGTTCGTGTACAGGAGGCTTCGGGTGATCGACGGGTCTGACTCTTCCAGCCGCAGGGATTCCGTCTTCAGCCGCCGGAGGCCGCCGCCGATGCGCTCCGCCGACGGAGCAGACCGCCTCGGGGCGGAGTACGTGACGCCGATGCTCGGGACTGGGAGTGTTGACGGGAGGAGGGAGATGAAGAAGAGGAGGAACAAGAGAGACATGGTGATGGTTTTGGTGTTGTTAGAGAAAGTTAGTTACGGAACCCTTTCAAATTTCGGAATATGGCGGGAATCATATCTTTCCCATCTATGGTTAACTTAACTTACTCATGATCTAATACTTTTATTTACGCATTACTTTTTTATTTTATTATTTTCTAATATATAAAATAATATAAAATAATTGACATTTTTAATAAAAACACCTTAAAAACTTTTCTTCCAATTAAACAAGCATGACATCTCAATCCATCCGCGATCACAGGGCTCTTCTTTCATTTCTTTTTCATCTCAGATGTAGTTATTTTATTTCCATAGTTATGATATAGCAAAGGTTTTATGAGATTTCATTTAGCAATTTTTTTTATTTAGTAGAAATAAGACTATTGTTAAGTACGTAAAAGTGAAACATTCATATTATAAACACAATTATTATATAAAATATAGAATTATTTATTTATTTCACTTTTATTTCCTTGCCATCCACTAATAACAGGTTGAATATAAAGTGTATGATAAATTATCATGTGGTTGAAGATTACGTGATTTTTATTTTTGGTGTCAAAAAAAAGGTTACGTTATTTTGATTAATTTTGTATAACAAATATTCTCTCATCTCTAAGACTATTAATATTTTAGTATTTTTATTCCAGCGCGGAAAATTTAAAAATTTCAAGTCTCATTAATTGTTATTTTTATATATATCCTTATTAGATAATAATCATTCTTTACATCGTAATTATTTCTATAATAAATATCAAATGAGAATATTTTAGACTAAAATATATTAATTTATGTATAGTATTAATATTTTTAAAATATATATTAACCCTTAATTATCAATAATTTTAAGATTTAATAGTCATACAACTTTCAAGACCAATTAAAAATTATTATTAATATAATTATTATAAAAGTCAACATAATGATTTATGGTTTAATAACCGAGGAAAACTACATCACTTATTCTCTGATAATCTTATAAAAAGTAATAATTAATTATTTTTTATAAATTAAAAATTCACGTTAAGACCACATAACCTGGACCACGTTGTAATTTTTCCTGATAATGACTGGAGTTGTTGCTGATGGTCCCATGCACTTAATTGGTCTTGGGAGGAGAAAAGAACTGACAATGGAGCCAGCAAAAGATATCTATATCCAATCTCCCAAATAGTAATTTATTGGTTAATAATATGTTACTTGGCAATGCTCATTTCTCGTCATTTCATTTGTTACTATCAACCAATTTAATACATTCATATCCTTGCACCTGAGTTCTTAGTCCTGAATGTCCTTGCCTTGTCTGTCTTTCTGTCTCTCTTCACAACCTCACCGATCTGCCATTTCTCACTTTTCTATCAACAAGGTACTTAACAATTTGACACCATCTGTTGAAGTATCTCTGCAGCTAAACTCACCAATAAAAGTGTATTGTTCCCAAAATTTTGTCAACTGGGTCGTTTTTGATTCGTAGTTATTGCAGCTGTAGGTATTGTAAAGGCAAATCTAAGAAGCTACATTGCGTTTAGGCATTTAGAATTGGTGGTGGTAGGTTTGGTGCACTTAGATCTAAAAGCCAGAGAAATGTCTTTTATTGGTACCCAACAAAAGTGCAAGGCTTGTGACAAAACGGTTTATCCCGTTGATCAGTTATCTGCTGATGGCACTGCTTACCACAAAGCATGCTTCAAGTGCTCTCACTGCAAAGGAACCTTAAAGGTAGTTTTAGTTTCTTTCATTTCATTTGTTTGCTTTTGTCTTTTAAGCTGCATTGTTGGTTTAATTTAATGCCTTGTCAACATTTTTCTTCATGCTCAAAATTTTGTTCTTGGCTGAAAAATATATAAAACCCCACAAGAACAGATTGATATTTAGAGAACGGATAAAGGTTACTCGTTTTGCTGTAATGACATAATCATTTCTTATGATATTGAGCAGATTTTGGGTTGATTTTGTAGTATTTTTTGTTCTTCACATTTAACACTCATTGTTCTTGGTGATTTTCCTGTTTCAGCTCAGCAACTATTCCTCCATGGAAGGTGTTCTTTACTGTAAGCCTCATTATGAGCAACTCTTCAAGGAGACAGGCTCTTTCAAGAAGAACTTTGTGTCACGTATGTCTTCTTTTTCTTCTTCCAGGATAGAGCTGTGTTGTGATTTCTGAATCAGATAATCGTTTAATTGATGGTAATTTCAATTTGAACAGCTGCTAAGCAAACTGACAAAACAAGTCCTGAGCTGGTAAGAATCTTGAATTTGTCTTTTTGAAATTTAGTTAGGAATGGGAATTTATAAATGGGTCTATGGCATTTGGTGTTTCTGCTTACTGTTGGCGTCTTTTGGTTATTCTAGACAAAGACCCCTACTAAAGCTGCTAGCATGTTTTCTGGGACGCAAGAAAAGTGTGCTACATGTGGCAAAACTGCTTATCCCTTGGAGAAGGTAGGATTCAGAAATCTCGTAAACAAAATATTTGATGATATTCATTGTAGGGGTCATATAAACACCTCAGTTACTTATTGGTTATATGAGTAAGTGTTCATTGTTCATTGTTCAGGGCCTAATAACAAAGAGCATGAAGGTTGATGCAAAAATTTTGTTTTCTTCTATGGAAATAACTTATTAAGTTTTGGGCAAAAAACCAGCTTGAAAACACGTATTAGTTTTGCAATTTTCTTCGTATGATTTCAAGCTATATGATCAAGATCAAGTATAGAAAGATCAAAATCCGTTGTCAATATGTGGCCCAGAAGTAGAATTTGATACGGCTTCCTTGTTTCACTGGGAGAGTTTGTGTTTATATTTTATTTCTATCTTTAGACGATGGTGAAGAGTATATTGCGATTTAAATCATAATCTTCACAAGACAACAGAAGTTGCATTTGGCATATATTTCCTAATTAGTCATTTGCTGCATGTCTGCATGGTTAACCTGAATTGGAAGATTTAAATTTTCTGCTTGTCATGTATGAGTTTGTCTCTCACAGGTAACAGTGGAAGGTCAGGCCTATCACAAATCTTGTTTCAAATGTTCTCATGGTGGCTGTCCCATAACGCCATCGAACTATGCAGCCCTTGAAGGCGTTTTGTATTGCAAGCACCATTTCTCCCAGCTTTTTAAGGAGAAAGGGAGCTAATAATCATCTTATTAAGTCTGCATCAATCAAACGGGCAGCAAACTCTGTTCCACAATCTTGAATCTTGGTGGTGTCTTTTGCTTTTTTCTATCATCTGTGGAGCAAGTGTTTGTGTGTTCTCATTTTGATTCTACCTACCATTGCATGTTCTCTTCTTATTTACTTCATAAGTGCGTGGCGTTGCGGGTGTGCAATTTATGGTGTGTGATGTATTTGTCCAATGCAAATTCAGTAATAACAGTGTGATTTGCAAGATGTCGTATCTGAAGATCATGTACCCTCTATTTTGAATCCACTGAAACGTGGTGTCTAATTTAACACCAAATTGTAAAAAAAAAAAACAGCAAAAAAATTATTATGAAATACTGGTTGAGCAGGATATAGGGGATTTCTGTTTTTAACAATTTGGGCTTTAGTGACCTGCTCAGTGTCTACTTACTTTACATTACGGTAGAATGATGATTGAGATGTGTTTAAATTAATTTTAATAATAGATTTTGCATTAAAGCGTATATAGTATGCGAAATTAAGGTTAAATGCTAACCAAACAATCACTAGATAATTATGGTGAATTGGTGATGGAGGTGGGGACTGGCTGACTGGGGTTCATGATGTCAAAGAAACAAACAACTATTGTAAAGTTAAGAAATTACGATAAAAGAAAATTATAATTTTGAAGGTTTGGTTTTTCCATAACTCACCCCTTTTCGCTTTATTTTTATTATTCTTTGAAGAAAGGCTTAATTTTCCTTAAGACATTTCAAGTCTTGGTGTACGAAAATAATAGGAAAAGAGTATTATCCTTTAATGAGTTCGTCTAACTTCACTTGGATTGACAGATTTATCAAAATAGTTCAAAGAATTTGGAAAGATTACACTATTCAATGTATTGTCCAAGTTATGTTTATACATTTCGATTTAAAATAATTTAAAAAAAAAAAAAAAAAAAAACTTTTTCCTGAAGAAAGAAAATTTTTTTAC